AGAAGAAGGTGCCATCGCAAACCAGTTTTCTAGTAAGGGAATGTGTCCATTACTGCTGTCAATGTGATGGTGTAGATATATTGTCCTATCTTAAATTCTGGGTTGGATCTTCTTTTGCTTAATTTTTTTATTTCTTTTTGTGATTTCAATGGACCCAGAGTAGTATATTTTTCAATTGGAGCTTTTTGAAGAGAAACAAGCAACAAAAATGGCAGTATAATTGATTGTATTGTGGCCTTCAGTATGGATAATCTTCCGGAAAGGTCTATAGCTTTTGACTATAGCAATGCTGGATGTCTACTAGTAGTTGAAAACTTTACATCTTTAGGTTTATGGCTCAGCTGATAACTCATTTTCAATTTTCAATTTTCAATTATCAATTTTTTTTCCCGCTGGATGTGTTGTTGGATTCTCTCTTGTACTTTTGGAGCATCCTAATTCCACATTTTGCTCAACTCTGAGAATTGCCTATGAAGGGGCAATAGGCACCGTGAAGCAATTTGCTAAATTTGAGCAGCTGAATAGATCCATCATTACTGGTTGAGAGATGTGAATGTGTTGAATTACTTGTCCCTTAGTGAACTATCTCTTCAGTGATTGTGACAAGTGTGCAGTTTGCTTTTGCTATAGTATACTTGATGAAAATTACGAAAAAAACACTACTGAAATTTTATTTCCTATTTGTCATCTTGCTTTGGAAACTTGTATGCTACTTTAAATTTTGCATCAATGGTACCTTCTCCTCCTTGTTTGTGTGCTGAATATTTTCTGACTTTGAATGCTGACTCTAATAACATCTATAGCTGCAGCATGTAGAGTGATGACCCTTTTCAATCTCAGGTAGTCAACAATTGCAGATTGGTTGTTCAGTGAGTGGAATCATTGATGGCAAATTTGATAACGGATATCTGGTTACTGTGAACCTGGGCACTAATCAGCTTAAAGGTGTCCTATACCATATTCCTCATACATTTCATGAGTCTCAGGATTCTCGTTCTTCAGATTTGCCTCCTCGCCGGCGCCGGAAGAGATCGCGGTTAGCCTTACGTGATCCTTCTCAGCCCAAGTCCAACAGGAGTGGCTACAATTTTTTCTTTACTGAACATTATGCCCAGCTAAAGCCCCTACACCATGGGCAAGAGAAAGTCATTAGCAAGAAGATTGGGCTCTTATGGAACAACCTCACGGAGGCAGAAAAGCAGGTAAGCAAAATTGTTTATATCTTCAATCTTAATTTTTGGGTTTTGCAATTATTCTCAGTCCTCCACTTACTCTTCTTGTGATGCAGGTTTATCAGGAGAAAGGTTCGAGGGACAAGGAGAAATACAGGAATGAAATGTTGGAGTACAGATCTTCATATGCTCAATAGCTTACATACGCATCTAGGCGCTAGTACATTCTTCTATTTTCTTTTGTAGTTCTGTTGTGTTGTGGTTGATGCTATAGTTAGTGGTTCTGTTTTGTAGTCTACAAATATTACTGACTTTTGCATTTAGGAGCATCCATGTTAGAGGTTTATTATCACAAGGAATTTAGAGCAAGTAGACTTGTAATCAGTTAATGTTATGCTTATACCGTCATTTTATGAGTCGAGTCTTGGTAAATTATGATTCCTTCTTCCCTTCCCCATGTGGGAGTTTATAGGATCAACACCACTGGCGTTCTCCTTGTAAAAGCTGACTCTTGCAAGGAGAAAAATCTAGCGAAGTCCCTGACCTTCAGACGTTCGTGATTTTTACCATCCCCTTGTGCCCATGTTTTGACTCTTTAAATGTTTTTCTCATGCATGTGCAAGCTCCTTCGCAAATATGTGTCCTGATATGTAGCCAAGAAACCAATCAATTTGGATTTATTTACTCCCAAATTCTCTATGTTTTGAGCATAAAAGGAATCAAAAGAAGAGGAAGCAATGTGAATCAAGCTTGTGATCATTACGGAATTTGGATATCTGTAAGGTATGCATAAAAAAGAATGGAAAACGTGTAAAAATCATTTCCTGGAAGATCACTCTGTAAAATAGAAATTCATAGTGGTGATGAGCCCATTTGAGAGCACCTTTTCTAGATCAAGCTTGTGATCTGAGTAACCACGAATAAAACGAAGTGTTCGGTCATGAAGAACACCCAAGTTCTGCTATAGTGATAGCTTGCGGAAGGTTGGCGTCACGGAAATCAAGCACTGAAGAGTTGTGCAAACCAACATATCCATCTCAACAAAAAGTTCCAAATTCTGAGATGAATAAGTTGTATGTATACATGGATTTTGCAGACCTCAATTATATGTTCCACACCTTATCGAGTTTTACTCAATTATATGTTCTACACCTCCAACAAAAATAATATTATACATAAAACTAAAACTTTTGGTGTTTCTCCTGTTCGCAAAAACACCGTTCACCTTCATATTTTATTATATATTATATTAGTATAAATTATATAAATTTTTAATTTAGTTATTGAACTTTTTTGTTTGCACTATCAAGCCCTTTTCAAATCAAATTATAGCCCATTATTTTTTATCTATTAGGTAATTAGTCTCTTAAATTTTATAAAATTAAATTTTAATATCAAATTTTATTTTATTTATTTTTCTGTCCTGTTTGTTTTTAGTTGGAGGAAAGAGAGTAGGTCATCAAATTCTAACTTAGAGAAAAAAAATGTTTATTGATGACGAACTTAGCCATCAAAATGATTATTTTTATGTTAAATGGTTCTTTATAATGAGAAGAGTTAAGATTAAGTTTTTTTTTTTTAACTTTGAAAACACCTAAAAAATCATATATGATTTTAGAAAATTCTTTTTTTGAGTGGATTTCGAGTTTTAGGGTGGTTATTTATGTTTTTCATGGCTATGAATTGATTTAACAAGGTATTTATGGTGTTTCCTAAGTGTTTTGAAAAAAATAGGATGAAAATAAATTTTTAAATAAAAAACAAAGGACCATGTTTTTCTAGCCACCATGGTGGTCGCATTCTAGGAATGAATAAATGATGTTGATGCAGGTGATACATTAATTTTTTTTTCCTGATGCATGGGGCGGATGATGTGTTGTTTGCCCCATTAAACTTAAAAAAATATAGACGTAAGCGCGAGTCGTTGCTTGATTAGGCCAGGTGCTTGGCTTGACTTGATTTTTTTTTAATTTTTTTTAAAAAAGTAATGCATTAATTGAATTTTTTTCCAAATAAATTGTGGGTTGATGTTTTAATTAGTTTGCGATAATTTTTGTTTTTAATAATATTGATTTTTTTTAGTTTTTAAAAAGATAAATATGATTCATCTGTGATTTTTTTCTTAATTTTATACAAATTAATTTTTTTAAAAATATTAATTTTTTATAATATTTTTCATATGTGCTCCCTTGTATTTTTTTAATTCAATATATTTTATGTGCATGTTGGTTTCTATTACAAATTTTATATTTTTTCTTTTATAAATTTATTTTGATAGAAAAATTTATTACACATAATAAGGTAAATTACTCATGTTGCGATATTAAATATTTTTATCTTCAATTGTCACTTATTGTTTTTTACAATATTTTAGTATTAGGTTGGTATTTTATTTTGTGATTTTATATTTTTCTATCATGAAGTTAAATAAAAATAGTTTTGAAATTTTTTCTTGTAATTCTACTGGAATTCATAGCCCGATCAACATGTTTAACGTGCTAGTTCGGGTTACGTGATTTACATGTTTGATGAGTTCATCATGTTTTTATTTATTTATTATTTTTAATAGTTTTTTCTTGATTTTATTCTTTATTATTAGATTAGTTGGGAAATTAATTATATAATTTATTTATTTATTGTTTTTTAAGGTTATCACTATCTCAAATAAATTTTTATTTTTAGATTGGTGTTCAATTTCATAATTATATATTTCTATCATATATATATATATATAATTTTTTAAAAATATAATATTTTATTAAACTCAATGAAATACATGAAAAGTTTTGTTTAGAGAATAAAATCATCTCATTTGTTATTGTCTCAAATGCTTTTATGAAAAAAATTATTATTTTAAAGTTTTTATTAAAAACTAAGTTATTAACTATTAAAATTATATTTTGATCTATAAAATTAATTAATTTAATTAAATTTAATTTTAAATAATTTAATTTAAAACTTAAATTAAATAAGGTATTGGATTACGAGAGATTTTAAGATTTGCGTCTTAAATCAGATTTAACATTTTCTTTTTACTTCATCTGACTCGCAGTAGGCGCGTAACAATGTCGTAGTCTTTAGCTATTAGATGTTTGCATCAGCAGAGCTTCAGCATATCAATGGAGGACGGGCTGCTGTTGCCGCTGCTGGTATGCTTCTGGCTGGAGGGGGGGGGGCTCTAAATTTTCTTTATATATTGTTGGCATAAATATAAAATTTTCAAACTTAAAGAATTTCATGTTGGTTTCTTGGTTTCGGATAGGGTAAAGCAATTTTTATACCCAAACCAAAACCTGATCTTTTTGTCTTCAGATTTTTCTTGAACTCGAACCAGAAGGATCGTAGGATGCAAGTTCTGTTCTTCTAATCCTACGTTTGTTCGGACTCTACTAAGTTCGAACCTCGTTCAGATTGGACTGAACTGTCGTCATTATATGTAATAAGAAATCTTCTTTCAAAGGAGGGAAAACATAAAGGAGTAAGAGTAATCAATTATCTGCCGTATTAAACAAGATGTCGTCTCAAACAACGTGACTGCCCACAATTTTCTCTGTGGGTTTTGGGTTATATAGGAAAATCTTTATACGATTGAAATTTAATGACTTTCCTCAAGAAACACGAAGGAAATCGAAGTCGGTTGCTTTTCTTTTGCTTGCTTCCAATCACGAATATATATAGACACAAACTCACCAGTCTTTGTATATACGGAAACGAACTTCGGATATACCTAATCCTAAAGTTACTGCAGGGTTGTTGTGTATCATACCTACTACTTTGTATATCCTTTGTACAATCAGGTCTGATTTAATTTATGCTAGCTGCAATTTCATGTCTAAATCGTGCAAAGTTTGCAACAAAGTGTTTCCTGGTGGAAAATCATGGGGAGGCCATATAAGGACATGTTGCAAGAAGGAGGAAGATGAAAAGGATCGAGAAGATACTGATGATTGGAGGGTACATGATTGCTCTTCTTCAGAATCAGAATCAGAGTTTGAATTTCATGTTGATGTTGATGAGAGTAGTACTAAAGGGTCCGTGGAGCCCGTCGATTTGAGGGAGTATCTCCCACGGGGTTGGTCAGGAAATAGCAAGAAGAAAAGATCTAGAAAGAATAAGCTCAAATTTGCTGCTTTAAATCAAGCCAGAAAGAAGAGTTTTGCAGATCACATTCTTGAAGCTGCAGCCTTAAACCTTCTATTGTGGCCTTCAGTCTGTGATATCAAGCAGAAGGGTATTAGGGAAGAATTAGCCAAGTACCAAGATAGGTTTTCCCATCAACTTTCCTTGAATAAGAAGCCAATGAAAAGCATTGCTTATACGCGAGAAAAGAGGCCCTCGGAGTTCAAAGTGGGACAAAAAAGAACATACGTGTGCAGGGAATGTGGATTAGTTTTTGACAGCTTCCAAGGTCTCGGCGGCCACCTGGCCGCCCACAATAGGAAGAGAGAGAGGGAAAAAGAAGGGAAATTGGATCTGGTAAGTGGGGTTCATCAAGATTCGAGAGGCAAAAACGTTATAATTGGTGATGCTCCTAGAAAAGAGTACAAGTGTATTCTGTGCGAAAGAAGTTTTCCAAGTGGACAAGCTCTCGGCGGACATATGAGCTATCATGGCACTGCTCAGAAGGTTTACAAGCATGAAGGACATAATAGCCATCACACCACTGCTGATACGGAAAATAATAACTCCGCATCCAGCCATGAGGCATCGAATGGGGCAGATAGTCATTCCAATCCTCCATCTAGTGTACAAGTTAGTCACCTTGATCCTCAACCTGGTAGTGCATTGGATTTGAACATGGCTCCAGATGAGGGTTTATGGGAAAATGATGTTGGAGTCCAAAAACAGTCTCAGTTAAGTTAGTGTTACACTGGCATTAGATTATTAATGCACATAGTTTAGGGGGATTGACGTTGGAGATTGAAAAATTCCCAGTCAACTTAGTGTTACACTTGCATTAGATTGTTAATACAATTAATACTTATTAATTCTTTTTTATCCTGAACTTATGTTGGCTTTATTTTACCTTTTTTTGGTTGATTATGTGCTACTCATTTAGCCTGTGGTCTAGCGCTTTCCTTTTAGAGAAGATCTTTACTCACTTCTACGTGTGCCTGCTTCTCCATCCCCTATTTTTTCCATCTCCTCTCCTTTCATTATGAACTTGGAGGAGTTCTTCATGGTTATTACTCATTGCGTAGTGATTTTCTTTGTGCTTGTGGATGTTATGCACTATTGCCTAGCTATAATTCCTATACTTAAGATTCAGCTTACGTAGCGGTTGCCTCCTGTTTTCCTCTCTGCTTTGCTGCTGGTGTCAATCCGGTTCAAGGAGATAAACTTGTGATCTATCAAATTTTTTTCTTCTAAGTGATGATTCTTCTCCATTTAGATGCTATGGTTTATAGGGAATTCTCCAGTCTTTGCATTCTTTTATCCTGCAGTTGCCCAACATTTCAATACCTTCGATCTGTCAACTATTTTTGACTGGAATGTGCTTGCTTCTCTTCGCAATCAAATGTGCAGCTAGCCTGGACTAGATTCTTTTTCTGACAGTAGCCTTATATATCAGACTTTGAGACTAGCGGTCTGAATACCATGCATACGTTGGTTTAGTTATAGTTATACAAGTGTTAGGCTGGCTTGTCAAATCTTGGAATAATATGATTTTGGCCTGTTCTAAGAGCTGAGCCTTATCGTTACACTGCTCGGTTGCTATCTTAATCTGTATGTTTTCCCACCATGGCTCCATTGGCTACTGGTGTTTATCTTTGTTCATTAGATGGCATGTGCTGTCCTTAACTGATAAAAAAACTAGAACTGGACGTAGATTTTCTTAATGCGTTTGACACTGCTTTACGCCCAAAAAGAAAGCAACTACGGCGTCGTTGTGCCCGGGCTGTGAGGGCTCTCGACCGCATGAATAGTTCAATGTGCTCATCAGAGCTTGACCTGAGATGTGGATCATCCAAGGCATGGCGTATTTCTCCTGTTCAAGCCGGGGTTTGAAACCAAACTTCTCCTCAGGAGGATAGCTAGCTCGCTCCTGCAAAATCGCCATGGCTAGACACTTTCAAGGATGCAAAAGCTGATACAGTCACTCGAGATGTATCACTATCACGTACCTGGTGGGAGACTGTTACGTGTAGATGTTGGAATTGTCTGCCTTGTGTAGAATTATCCAGAATTACTCCCTTAAAAAGGTTTATAAAAGGTGGGTTTTTAATGGTTTTATAAAATTATAAATAATTTGTGGTATCGATCGGTTTCATGGTGGGCTTCGTGGTGAGTCTTCGATATAAATATTTATAATATCAAAGTTTGGTGCTTGGAATTAAAATTGTCAATAACATTATCATTATTTTTTAAAAAATTTTAGAATTTAAATTTATCGGTAGATTTTGGCTGCGAATGTTGATTAAACTGAACTAAGCTATTATTCAATGTGATTCAAAAACTTTAAATGTTATTGTTAATTGAAATATTATTTATAGTCATTCTATAGTTTCATTGTGAAGTTGGTTTATATATGTGATTATTGGAATCAAGATTAACTATTAAAATATTTATTTTGATTCAAAAACTTAAATATTATTTTTAATAAGTAGTTGTATAATTCCAATGCGTTGTTTCAAGCATACAGATGCTACTAGCTGTTACATAAAAATTTATACACATCAAACTGATTTTTTTTTTAATTTAATATCTAAAAGAGAAACCCAATATAAATTCTAAAATATTTAAAACAAAACATCATAAAAATATAAATTTTAAATTAACAATATATTTATTTTTTAAAATAAATGCATTAAGTTTTTCAGTATTTATAAAATAAAAATTTAAATTAAATATCTTATAAAATTAAATCAACCCTATCAACGCCTAATAAAACATTATTATACTTTTTTATAATTTTATCATCACTGTAATCTTCAATCACATTAATATTTATTTATGAACGAATGACTGGAGTGTATATGATGCATCTTACCAGTCAATTTTACCAGCTAGGTTTCTTATTAATTAATTACGCACTTTTCCCCCAAGAGACGGACTAATAATTTCATTGATTGCAATAAATAGAGAGCTCATCATGAATTGTTATGGAGAATCTTCTCTCCAGAGGCAGCTTGTGAAGTGATAGGAGCAGAGAGGCATTCCCCGATATCTGGATGGTCTTGGCCTGTGCAATCATGAGTTGTTCTCTAAAACCACGGGTTGCTTTCATGTTCGAATGAATTTTGCAGATAATAAATCACCAAGTGCTATCAAGCGCATTTCAAGAAAAACCCATCAAGGATTTAACTTGATACCTGGCCAATTGCTTGAAGATCATCTTAACGTACCAAGTGGCAAACACTTGTTGAAAATTCTTCAAGAATCAAACTCTTTTTTCCCTACGTTTTACTTTCTGCTTTTTATACCAAGTAGCAGACACAAACTAGTCAGTTCCTATAAATTTGAAAATTCTTCTTAGTTCAGCAGCAAAAGCAATAACCAATCTTACAACCTTATGTTAATACACTAAATCAAAGAGAGGAAACAAAACCGGTATGGCTTCCCTTGAAGTCTTTTGCGCGTGGCTTAGATTATTTCTGTTCTTCTTTGCAACTAGTAGGGCTGAAAAAGTACTGGGGCACGCAGGACTATGGAGAGATTACGTTCTTTGTCCTTGTTGCTTTGTTTGTCAGTAAGTGAATTTAATTTACCATCCCAGCAGTGATGTTTTTCTTATAAAAAAACAATTGGATCTCATCCACTTCCACAGTGTGGATTGGTTTTTGTTGGGTTAAATTTCTAGCTAGTGTTTGCTTTAACCCAACTCAACCCAACGCAACCCAGGTTCAAATTCATCTTAAGTTTTAAAATTTTAATTTTGATATAATTAACTTTTTTATATTTGTTTATCACTATTTATGCATGATCAATGATCATGAAAAATAGTTCAACCCATTATCATCAAGATTGGATTTTATTTGGATTAATTATTTAAACTTGATTTATGTTATTATTAAATATTTTATTTTAATGAGCTACAAACCTTGTTGTTGGTATTTTTATTTTTAAGTATTTTCTCCACCCTTTCCCTTTCTCTTCTCTTCTTCAACTCCTTTTCTTCTTCTTCTCCTCTCTTCTTCTTCCTCTTCTTTCTTCCTTTCATTTGAAAATCATCCAAATATTAGGGTAAGTACTGAGAAAGGTGATGAAAAGAAAAATTATAGGAAACAAATGCAGATGCATCAAAGCACACAAGTGATCAATCTCAAACAATTAGGGCGGAAGGAGATTCATTATGATCTCAAATTAAGTTTCAGGAATTACAATGTATCGTACCATGATTAATTTGAAATTTTCCACTAACGATCATAAATAAAATTTTTTATCCATCATACAAGCCTGCTTATATAAGAGTAATCTGAATACAATCTGAGTTTCAACTAAACAAAAAAAAAAAAGGCGTTGCCATATAAAGAGAGGAGCAACAAAATAATAGTCCAGTCATCTCAAAAGCTTTACTCAACAGTAATACTAGAAGAAATGAATTACAAGCGTGCAATGAAACTTGAAAACTTTGTTACAACTACAATCCCATTCCCTAGATGATACTCAATCTTTGCTAAGAAAAGCTGAGAATACATAGAAAAAAGACCTACTGTGTTACTTTAAGTGGGGACAACCACCCCAGAATAGGGCGATAACCGCAGCACTAATAGCCAAAAAACCAAGATGAGCAAAATCAACTGAATGAGAAAACGTGCAGTCATCTTACATACTTTGTTCTGCATCTTAAACACCTCTTCAGTCCCTAAAACATCCCCACAATATTTTTCCAACTCCTCCGCTTGTTTCTTTAAAGATGCAGCCTTGTTATCTGCTTCTCCTAGCTTATTCAGCATCTGCACTTGCTCACCGGCCAAAGCCTCTTGTTCCTCAAATAGGGTGATTTGATCACCTGCAGCAACTCCCAACATCTGTAGATTCGTTAGCGCTAAATGCTCGATCTCAGCCTCGATCTTTTGCTTGAATAGTCCCTCCAGCTTGTTCTCAAACTCTCTAGATTTCTCTTGCTGCAACTCTGTAGTACTCGCTGATTCTTCTTTTGGTGACCTGTCGCCATTCAAGGTGGCTTCCAGTTCAGCAACCCTCAACTCCTTCACCTTGAGCATAGCCTTTGCCTCCTCCAGTCTGCTCTCCAAGTACTGCACAGTCTGTGTTAAGCTCAATGCTCGGAACTCCAAGGAATTTGATTCTTTGATACTTTCAGAATCAAACTGGTTAGGCAAGCTTGATTTGTGGATTTCTGGATTAGCCGAGGAGGAATCTTCTACTACAGTGCTAACCTTCCCAATCTCCCCCAATTTTTGAACCTCTGGAAGAGAATAAATAACTCAGTTGATTATGCTAATATGCTACCATCCCATTTTATCTTGCAGAAAATGGACACAAGGTCTTCATCCATAACAAATCAATCTGATGCAACAATGCCATCATTAAAATAAACAGAAAGACAAATGCTACACCATAGGTATCAACAGGTGTGCGATAAGTAAACACCAGGAACCAATTCCACTTCAAAACGATAACTAAGTAACTCAAGCCCATAGCTTGTTTCCAGGCAACACTGTTGGCTGCCAGATGGGAAAATCCTTGATTGCATAAAAGGGAGATTAATTGTTTTTAATGGAATCACCTCACATCTGCTTTCTTAGATTAAAAAGGTGAGTAGAGTTTAAACAAACAATAGCAGTATGGGTTCAACTCCCACCAACAGCAAGGCCCAATGTTGACCACTTGCTGCAAGCCTTAAGGCCTATACTCGGTCAGGCCCATCCCTTGCAGGGAGGGCTCTGGGCCTGGGCTGG